AGTGCACAGCAGATTACCCCACTCAGCCTTAACATCGCCCTGGAAAGAGGAAGCCTTTTTTAATGCAATCATTTTTGTTTACATCTTGGAGAAGATTATCCTCACTCATCGTGGCTCTTATGGGCTGTTTCTCACTCTCACCTTTTTTTTTTTTTCCTTGTTCACTGTCCAGTCTCTCTAAATAATCAATGACCAATTAACAGTTCAGTTCAGAAGAAGCACTTCTAGAAAATAATGAGCTTCTATCTGACAAAGGGTCTTGGAATGATCGCTTTTCCCATTTCGTGATTACAGAATGAAAATAGCTCAACCTCAGGCAGCATCAGAACTGCTCACTGTCTATTCAGAAAGAGTCCTGGGCATTGATAGTTATGTTTTCTTCTTTCTGCTGCCTCTCCGTGGCTGTGTCTCTGTGGGCTGATAGCCTCTCTAAAGTTGGAGGTTTCCTCATTCGTAAAATAGAATCTGATTAAATGAACTAATACCTCTCTGAAGTTCGGAAGGTCTTTGGTTCTGGAATCGGCAGCTGGTAGAAGCTAGCTCTACCCTTAACCTGCCCCCTTAAACAGCCCCCAGTAGCTAGCCCCCCTTTCCCACGCAAACTGGTATCAGATAGAACCAGTAAATAGCAGAATAAATAATTGATCTCTAATATGTGCTTCTAATTCAAATAAAGAGCCCTCTTTACTCACAGTGCACAGTGCATGTGACTGATGCATTTTATGTGGAAATTTGTTGGTTTCCGATAACTTTCTGTAAAGACGTTTTCACGGGGTCTAAACCTCTCGGGGCTCTTTCTGTCTCAAGTTCAAGTTACTTAGATAGTGATTAAGGATGTTTTAGAGGCCCTTGTGGTAAATGATAGCACAGAGAAAAAGCATTCCTTGGCCGTGTAATTCGGCAGTACTTGATCTGTTTGGGGTTTCATCCACTGGGCTTGCTGAGAACTTTAAAATGACTAACCTGTTCTCTGCAGCTTCCAGAGACTCCAAAGGTTGCATCAAGGGCCTGAGTTCGGTGATCACCCAGCTCAGGTTGCCTTTTTTATTTAGAGGATCCTCCATCTCAGTCCAGCTGCTTTTTTCTTGGGATGACAGGCTCTAGATACAGTATTCTTTTCCTTTGCAGTATTTACAAAATAGCATAAATCAATGAGCCCAAGCAGCAAAAGGCAGTCGTTTACTTAACTTAGTTTATTTAAAAATTTTCCCAGCTCGGTATTCAGCAACTAAGAATCTAGTGAACTTCACAACGGCCCGCCATGTCAGCTGAACTCTCCAGACTCTGTACCAAAGATCCCCAGCCACAGGCGTGGCCCCTCCCGAAGAAAGGAGCACAGGGTGACCTGATGGGACAGATGGGGCTTGCCCTCAGCCAAATGTCATCACCCAATCACACAGTCCTAAGAGGATTGTGTTAAGTCGCTTTAGGAAAATAGGCTCTGCGCAAGAGAACTTGGGAATCCACTGGGTCCTGAGATTTTTCTTACTTGAGCAAAGCTCCAAAGCAAGGCAGACAGATGATGGTTTACCGGCAACACTGTGATTTTGCCTTTTCAGGAAAATGGAGGCCTTGCCTGCTCTCTGTCCACAGATTCAGCGGGACGGAGCCTGTTACAAGCTTTCGCCTATCCTGGAGAAACTTCTGCAGAGAATTTGCCAAGCACCTCCCTAGGGCTGTTTGTGTGTCTGTGTCATCATCCGTTCTCGCCTTCTGTATGTGGCACCCAAAGTCCTTTTTTTCCAGAATGTAGGTCAGGCTGCTTATTTAAAAATGAAAGGGAGAGAGCCAGAGAGGCCACGCCAAATTTGGAATTGAGGGAGGGCTTTGTGATTTATAGGGTACCCGGGGTGGATACGGGTGGTTTCTGGGAGTCCACAGTGGAAGCTTACCTTAAAAAAGGGGGGGGGGGAGCTTATACACATGCCTTACAGAACACTCAGAAGAATCAATGCTTGTAATGTATGGAACTCATAGAATATTCTTTTTTAAGATTTTATTTATTTATTTGACAGAGAGAGACAGCTCAAGAGGGAACACAAGCAAGGGGAGTGGGAGAGGGAGAAGCAGACCCCCTGCTGAGCAGGGAGCCCCACGTGGGGCTCCATCCCACGACCCTGGGATCACGACCTGAGCCGAAGGCAGACGCTTAACGACTGAGCCATCCAGGTGCCGCAGAATATTCTAAACCAAGTAGAATTTAGTGCCTCATTATTTAGGCCCAGAGAATCTATTTCCCACATCTCCTGGCCAACCCAGAAGTAGTTCAGTACAAATATCTAAAGGGAGGATCTAGATTTCTTGGCGTGTATAATAAAGATCTTCCACTTGAATACATGGATGCAGTTTGGTCTTACTGGGGGGCTGAGCCGAGTATTAGCAGAGTTTTGCTTTTTTACCAAGCTGCACCGTGCTTGCTTGCCTGAGTTTGCCTGAGTCTCGGTGGGTTTCGGTTACTTGCCCTAGTAAAAGTCCTGTTGATGTAATTCCAGGGGAGGGAGAGGAAGGAGATAAAGGGCAGCCCCACAGCAGGCCTGGTCAATCTTCTTATCAAGGTCACTCAGCTATCCGTGTCTCAGAGGGATTTCCAGGCCTGAAGTAATTCTTTCATGTTTGTTTTACAATATAGTGGCATTTCCTCAAGTCCCCAGAAAATACGTACTTTCCACAGAGACCAACTCCGTCCAGTGTCAAGTACAAGTACGAGCTGGACCCAACCAGCACATCCTTTTTTTTTTCCCTACAGCTTGTTGTTCGGTGAGAAATCATTTCTTTTCACTCCCGCAGAAGTCCGGAGATATGCCACCTAGGGCTGCCCTCTTTCCTACACTTCTGACGTGCCCTGTCCAAGGGGTGTCCTCGATTGCCCCTCTCTCTGGATGGTTGCAGGACCTTCAGCTACAGAGCCTGAGGTCTAGGGCAGAAGGATGGATGCAGGGAGTCAAGGGACATATGCCAACTAATTCAGACCCAGGGAAGGAGTTTTCTTAAAGGTCACATCCAGAGAGCTCTACTGTCATCTCATGGGCCAGATCCACACCAGTTGAATGACCCCCCCACCCTACCTGCCACCCCCACCTGCAAGGGAGACTGAGAAGCTTAGTTGTTCTGTTTTGGTTTTTTTCTGGCACATTCTTGTCCTAATAGTCAGGAAGAAGCAAAGACTGAGATATTTGACGATATGGAAATTAAAAATATCCACCCCACTGTTTTGTTGTGGGGACGAAGTGTATGTGTACAAAGCACCCAAGGGTGTTTGATGGGAGGGGGGGTACGTGAAATAGCGTTTCCTTCTCTCTCCTGGTGCTCCCTCCCTCTTCGAGGGCCCGGTTCACAGGCAGAGGATACAGTGGAGAATGCCTTGACGCCACGATGTTTTTCCCATCTAATTAAGTCCCACTGAAGAATTTCATCTTTAGGGAGAAAAATAGCTGCCATCAGAAAGAAAAGAAATATTCGGCCTCCCTCTCATCGTGGACTGAGCGTTTGAAACTAGAAATGCCGTTTTGTGGGGAGCCTTCTTGCAGAGCTTGCAGAAGCAAAACTGTTAATTCAGATCTAGCTGTTCTACAAGCTGTTAAAAACCCATAAAAACGCTTTATAATTCTGCCTACGTTCTAATTCTGTGAGGCAGCGGTCTCATTTTTGTGTGCCCTGTACCCAGTGCTGAGCACGTCAACAAGAGTTTACACTAAGCTGAAATATAGGCAAATGCACACAATTTCCGCATTACTTTAAGATCTTTATTGTTAAGTAACTCATCGGGGGTGTCAAAGTATGTTATAAATCTAAACAGAAAATTAGAAATAAATGTGACATGGGAACACAGCTTTTACATTCTACTCAGGGTAAGAGTATTTGCTGGTGGGAGCACATAGCACAGGGAAATATAATTATTGGACGTTGATACTTCTATTCTGATATTAACTAACAAAACCGGAATCATGGACTGACAGAGTCCAGGAAGCAAAGCAAAGTGAAATGAAAACTAGACGTGTGTGAAACAAACTTAGAAAGTCAGGGGGAGGGCATCTGGGTTTGTTGTAGTGTTGGTTGATTTCTACTTGGCAGATTGTGGTACTCTAATTTAGCTGAGTAATTGCCACTACAAAATCCAAATCTACAACGCATGTATAATTTTAAAAATGGGTTTTGCATTTCTGAAGCCAGACAGGAAAAAAAATTGCATTCTTTAGATCCCCGATATTAAGCTGCAGGACAGTTTTACAACCTGGGAGCTGAACAAATCTCTTATCCATAAAACAACAGGAATAAAAGAGTCGCACACGTGCATTTAAAAAAGTAACCTCGTTGCTCATGGTCAAAAGAAACAAAGAAGGAAAGGAAGGAAGGAAAAAAAAAAGAAAAACAAAAGAAAAACACTTTACATACCTACATATTTTACTTTGATTGGCAATCGCAGACTGTATGATTCAGTTCAATTTACTTGTAAGCTTTAATTTAAATGGAGGGGGCGTGGGGAGCTTTTCCAGAAACAGCAAAAACGATTTGTGTGTACATGTATTTAAATAAACAAAGGAAAAACTGTGGCATATACGTAATGAGTAAAGAAACGCATAATTCTGAATGAAGCTAATAACTGCTCAATTTATAAAGCTGAAAGTGACTTTACTCATAGGGAATTGGGCTTAAAGTAATCATGATTAACATCTTTTAACACAGATATAGAGCATATAAATTTACTTCCTAAAATTTAAGCAATTCCATAACACTTATCTGTTTAATAATGTGAATAAAAATCACCTTATATTTCACAAAATCTTCCATTTAAATGATCGTTCCAAGTTCAATGGGAGTGTTGCTGAAAATCTAGAATTTAAGTCATTTATGTCTTGTAAAGTGACCAAGACAGGAAACATACATAACTGCTTCTGGACACAAATAAATGTCTTTCCCTTTGCTGTCCCCCCAAAATGTCTTTCCCCTTGCTGTCCCCCCACGTGCCCCCCTCCTCAAAAAAAAAAAAAAAAATGGTTCCATCCCTTACGTAGCCAGCAAAAGCTGCTGCAGTCTTTCAGGACAGAGCACGGGTTTTCTCTCCAACGGTCTGAGAATGTTTCCCACTGCCATCTATTCCCTATCCCATCTCTGTGATCCAATTTCTTCATGTTGTCTTTGGAGAAGATGGGGGTGGGCAGAGGAAGCCCCCTTGCTGGAGAAACTAGAAATGTCATTGTTGCCTTATTTCTGCTCTTCCATATAAAGCCATTTGCTGCAGGGCAACCCAGGGCATTTGAAAGAGAAATACTGTTCTGAATAATGTCAACTTTTCTTCTGCCTTATGAGTTAGAAAAAAAAAAACAAAAAACAGCTCCCAGCGTTCGTTGATCCTTACCTGCACGAGTGGCAGGGTGTCTATTTCTTACAGTCTCTACCTCTTTCTGCCGATACCAAGAGACTATGAGGGGCAGACATCAAACCTGCCAGGTGATTTCAGTTAAATATCTCAATGTTATAATCTACTGGATGCATATCTTGCATATCTTGGTTAGATGACATAATGTTTTCCTAGGAAACTACTATCAATGTTGATACATTTAAAAAGTTGTTATTCCTGCTGGCTGCCTGTCTTCCTATTTTTATTTATACCAGTATCCTACCTTTGTTCTCCATCACTGAATATGACACCTCCAATTGAAGTTGCAAGTGTGTGATATAAGACAAGGAGATGAAATTTAAATTAATCAGTTAGGCTCTTAATAGTATCCCTAATACCAAATTTGCTAGCACAAAAAAATAAATAAATAAAAGTTTACACAATTGGATACTATGTAATTTTTAGATGATTTAACCTGCTCTTCTTCTCCCCTATCACCATCGAACATCGCTATCCCATTCCTTAAAAGCCCTGCTTAGAACTACTTGCCTTAAGGTGACTGGCTACAGAGTAAAATGATTGCGGGGTAACCCTGGTCATCACAATTTGAACTACATTTGGGATTCTACAGAGATTCTATTTAAAGTCAAGACAGCTTTCTGATAAGGTGCTTCCTTACACTCGTCCGTGGTGGAGGTGGTGGGCTCCTCTGGGTTTTCACAGCTGCTGACAATATCAACTGCACTAAACGACCTTCTTCTGACCATGGTGTCCGACGTGCCAGATCCTTGGACTGGAGGTGCTTTGTCCATGTTGTGGAGCTGCTGGTCTTTCCAGTCCAGTTGTTCGGCACTGCAAAAGGGAGCGTATACCTCAACGCTCCCCTCAAACTGTAAGCAGTTCACTCTGTAGTACTTTCTCTTAACTTCCAGGACATCATTAAACCTATGGCCCCAGAGAATTTCTCGGGGAACATAGGAACTTCTGGATTGGTGAGAAGTGCCCGTGGAATCACCAGTATAGATGAATGTCACCAAAATCTCAAAGTTATCTCTGGCCACTGCTTTTCGGTCAAGGGCATACAGAGGGCTCTCGTGGTCAATTTCATGAACAATAGTTACTGGTGTGACAAGGATGATCTGGTCGTTGACCAACTTCAGGTCTTTGAATGCCATCGTCATCCGCCCTTCGCTGTCTTCAGTGTAGCGGAGAAGCTGGGCTCTCACTGTGCCTTCTACCACATGGTTTGGCCGGAAATCACCTATGCGCCACATGAGGCAAAGCTTCCCATCTCTCATGCCTATGAGGGCAAAATAGCTAAACCGAATGGTTTGGGCTCTCTTCCGAGCGGTTGCCATTTTGGCCAAGGCAGCTCCAATGATGAAGGTGTTTATGATGCAGCTCAGGATGGATTGAAGGATCACCATGAGCACCGCCACGGAGCATTCTTCGGTGACACAGCGGTAACCATAACCTATGGTTGTCTGGGTCTCAAGGGAGAATAAAAACGCCCCTGTAAAGGAATGGACGTTGTCAACACAAGGCGTGATGTCCGGATCATTTAACAGATCGCCATGATGAAAGGCAATTAGCCAAAAGATAGAGCCAAATATCAACCAGGAGAGAATATAAGATAAGGAAAATATCACAAACATGTGGCGCCACTTGGTGTCTACAAGAGTAGTGAAAATGTCAACCACATAGCTCCCCCATTCTCCAAAAATGTGCTTGAAGTACACATTGCAGCTACCATCTTTGTGGAGCAGACGTCTTCTGGCTCTTCTCTTCTCAGCTAGGATGTGCCCTGAGGGGTAGCCCGGGTATTTGGGGTTCACGTTGACAATTGGAGAACTGCTGCCGTAATAGCTCATTCTTTCCTCTCTCCTTCAGGCATCCAGGTGGATTTTTGTACTAGTAATAGTTCTGTGGCTATTTGTTGATTTAAGTTTTCGGTTAAAACCTGAAAAAAAGAAAATTAAATATGCTTTAGCTTTTAATTTCCATCTTTATAGTAATTTGCCAAATTTGAAGCAATTTTATGCCATCTGAAATGGCGAAGCCTTCATTTGAACAACAGAGACATTCAGTATTGATTACTCATTTCAGTTTAGAATTCAACTCAGTCATTATAGGAACAAAATATGCAATTAGAGAAAATAACATTTTTATCTATGCAAAAGGCTTGGGTAAACACTATGATTATCCCAAATGAAGCCTCACTACCTTTTCTGACCTGACATAAACAAAAGTCTTAATTTTATAGACTCTTCTGCCATGAGGGCACTTAGAACACAAAGCAATCTTTAATGTAGAAAGGCACAATAGAATTCAGATATTTGTCTAGCACGGTTATAAGCCTTCTAACTCTTGAAGTCAGATGTTTTTTCTAAGAAGGATGCTAGGAAGCATCACTACCTTCATCCTGACATGTAACTTACATACTGGTTGCCACAGACCCTCCCCTTCAGCCCCTGCCACGTCCTCTCTCTCTTCCCCCGAGGTTTCTCTTCCTCCTGTACTTCCCAGGACAGAACAGAACCGACGGCGACACTCTCTCAGGTTCAAGTCCTTTCCCCTAGCTCCTTTAGTTTTAAGAGGGCAAAAAATGTTCTTAACCCCAGAGGAGTTAAAACCACGCCCAGGTAAGCTTTCGATAGGTATAAAATTGCTTTTGCTTTTGTCTCAGGACAACCATCCTTTTTCTTTTTCTTTTTTTTTTTTTTTTTTCTGGACACTGCCATCTCTTCTCTTTCCCTCTGAATAGAAGCCGAAAATTTGCCAAAGTTCTAATCTTGTTTCCCTCTTAAAGGGAGCATACTACAATTGGACTCTTCTCTCCAGCTCTGCAGCATATTCCTGACGCTTTCAAGGCCATCCGTAGGCAAAATCATTTTTTCCCCTCCAAATTCGATCTTTAAAAGATCAAGGCAGGGGGCGCCTGGGTGGCTCAGTCGTTAAGCGTCTGCTTTCGGCTCAGGTCATGATGCCAGGGTCCTGGGATCGAGCCCCGCATCGGGATCCCTGCTCTGCAGGAAGCCTGCTTCTCCCTCTCCCACTCCCCCTGCTTGTGTTCCCTCTCTCACTGTGTCTCTCTCTGTGTCAAACAAACAAAATCTTTAAAAATAAATAAATAAATAAAAGATCAAGGCAGAACATACAGTTCCTATTGCTTTTATCATCCTTGGAATTGGCCAGTGGTTTTCCCAGCTCAAGTCTGAAAGTAAGTTTTAAAAATTCAATGTTAAATGGTCTTTAGTTACTTCTATGCAAAAAAAAAAAAAAAAAGTCACTGCAGCCCAATGAAATGGTTTAGTAATTATTAGAATATGCTTTCCACATAACCTGCCTGTGCTAGATGAGGGAAGGGAGGATAAGGGGGAGAAAGGACTTCCCACTAGAGAATCCAGCCAGCACTGCAAGGAAACTACAGTTAAGAGTCAATACTGTTGCTGACATTGAGACCCACCCCCCCCCCCCTTGAAACTGACCAAGGAAATTAATCACAAAGTACTTATCCAACACCTTCCCTGAAAAAGGGAGGAAAGAGTTAATTTCCTTCCAGTCAATAGGAATCACTTTTCTTCTTCTCCAGGGATCAGGCCCACTTCACAATAAACACTTTGTTTGGTGGACCACTGCAAGGATGAACTCTGCTTTCAGCCAGAAAATGCTGTAAGGCGTGTACGAGTTTCTCTCTGTCCATCCACGTACCCCCAGCCACTCTGCCCACTCGTCCTCCAGATTTGCTTTGAGTAGTTACATTCCCTCTTTTGTCCTCAACCGGGTTTTGGGGGAGACGGTTGTATAATTTCAGGATGTGACCCAGGGCTGACAAAATGCTTACCGGAATGTTGAATGTAAAACGTTTCCACAAATTTTGCCCACAACATATATCATTCTTGCAGGTTCCTGTCCCATTTGTCATCGAATGACACTTGACAAACACAAGAAGCTGCTCAAGGTTTCTGGGTCTTCATTCTCTTACCTGATTGTTGCAGGCATGAGAATGGGACCTGTTATAATCAAAGGCCCATATGACTTCAAATTAAAAAAAGTAGATGTGGGGGCACCTGGGTGGCTCAGGCGTTAAGCGTCTGCCTTCGGCTCAGGTCATGGTCCCAGGGTCCTGGGATCGAGCCCCGCATCGGGGTCCCTGCTCAGCGAGAAGCCTGTTTCTCCCTCTCCCACTCCCCCTGCTTGTGTTCCCTCTCTCGCTGTGTCTCTCTCTGTCAAATAAATAAATAAAATCTTAAAAAAAAAAAAAAAGTAGATGTGGAGATAGAATTGTTTCCCTGTTAAATGCTTCCAGTCGCGTTCCTTAAAGGGAACGGCACACACTGTGAGAGTCTGAGAATAAGAAAGCACAGTTCATAAATCAAGAGCTACTGTGTGACTCTGCTCTTTTCTGCTGCCAAAAGAGAAAAGAAAGGCTTTTATTTGAAATGGCATGCAGTGTGAATTCCAGCGGTGCCCAACTGTTACAAACAAGCCATTTTAAAAACACCTTCAACGGTATGCTAATTGGGGAATGAATTTTCAATTAATATAAGCTGTAACTGAGCAAATTTGAGGATGTGCAAAGTTTGTTTCTGAATAGTGTAATCATGAGAATTCTGTGAGAATTCTGTCCTAAACCCACCATGCCCTGTGTCCCCACCACGGCCCACCATGTTGAATTGATCATTCATTCACTTCAACTTAACCAGAGAAAAGCTTTCAGATTCTGTTCAGGTGGCAGACCCTTGATTCATCTATTCTTTGATTCTCCAACCATGTAAATGAGACATTTTCCAAAAGATGCTTGTCTTTAAGCTAAATGCCAGATTATAACCAAACTAATTGTATTGAGTCTTAACCATTTCTCAGATTACCCAATGAGCAAAGAATTTTATGGACCCCCTTTGTCAAAATGACTAGACAAACTATTTATTAGTATCTTGTTTCATACGTTGTGTTCATTTGAACACTTTCCCCCTTGTTTGCTATTAAATAATAGAGGATAAGACTTGCCTATTGAGTGGACATTCTTTGTGTAACAGTGGTGTTACTTAGGATTAAAACCTGGCTTTCAAAGCATCTCTGTGCTTTCATAACCATCTTATCACCTTCCATTCCATCACAAAAATGCATTTGCAACCTTCCTACTTCTCTATTTCTTTTTGCGTCTTGTTCTCCTTGCTCTCTAGAAACTGATGGTGGCTATTTCATTGGGGGCAAATTCCTTTTTTTATTAAAAATGGGAATCTGAGCACCGCAATGACAAAATTATGGAATATAAAGTGCTAAAGGAAATGCAGAATCTGCAGTCCCACTTTGTACCAGCTTCAAAGTGTTTTGCCAGGTGGTTAATGACAAAGGCAGAAAAAAGACTGCGATTTCTTTGTCATGACATGGAATTCTAATATAGAGGTGGCTAGAGTGAGAGGCCAGCCAGGGTCAGGATGGTGGGTCGTTTCCCGAGAATGCCATCAAAGTCATTACAATTTACTCCACCCCACGGAGACGACGCGGAGAGAGAAAGTTCGAGGGGTCAGCAGACCCAATTCTGACAGTGACTATTCTCAGATGCTACTCATTGTATTAAATTCAGACATTAAAAAAAAAAAAAAGCTGCTTAATCCACTTGCACTAATGGGACCTGCTTTTAGTCCTCAGTGCTCTAGATAGTTGTATGAATTCAAGGAGAAACCTTTACTGATTCAGCATGTTTCAAATGGGCTACACACAGGTTGGAATATTTTCAGCAAAACAAGTGACCATCCCGAATACCTGTCCCCGGTTCTCAATGCATAGGAGTGCCTCAGTCAGACTCACCCATTCTGAGGCAATCCCTCTGTCATTTTGCTATATCCTCTCAAACTCAGCTCTTTACCAAGCAGACTACCCTTGCAGGTGGTTCTTCAAACTAAAACTTTTCATTAGCACGTTGGAGGTGCAACGTAATGGTTAAAACTTTGGAATCCCATGTCAACTTCAAAAATAAAATTCGATCTTGTCTCTAGCATCTGCTTACTTTAAATATATTAATAGTGATTCGAATTGGCTTTTTGTAATTCGAGACACACCACAAACAATGCTCTAAATATCTTTGGTGAAATTCAATTATTAATGCCCGTGGCCTGTGATATTAACAAGTACCATCTTTAGCATGTCCATGAGTTAACATGAAGTCACCGGTAATCAAGTTACTTTCCTGGCGACTATGCAATGAGAGAGATTTTAGTGGACACACCAGAGAGGAAGAGGCAGAGAGTAGAAAGGGTGGCCTAGATTCTGTGTGCAGGTCATTGTCTTTGGAGACTGGCTTGGGTGCCACTCTGTGGTGCGTGGAGGGGCCAGGGCAGGGGTGGCAGGCGGGTAGTGAGAGAAGGTGTAGTCAGATGGCACTTGTGGGTGGGCTCTGGATGCTAAGGAGGAAAGAAAGAGGGGTGTTAATGGGATAGGACAGAACCCAAACAAGTTGGGGTTATTTTGCTCAAAACCTGTCCCACAACTTGTTGCCTCGGAATTACGCCTGAGCCTTGTGTTACCTGAAATCCTCAGAAGACGTTCAGACACAGTTAGGTGGAGCCCTTCATTCAGCCACTGAACACCTGCTTCACTCAGAACCCACTAGATGCTGCCCAGACTTCTCCAAATAGTCCCTGTCTCCAGAATGTCAAACAATGTCTCCTTTATTGACAATCTATGGCGTTCTCGTGTTTCTTCTCAGCCGCTCAAAGCAGGTCTCCGATTAAGCTATAGCCTTTGACCTCTCCATTCTCTTCTCCGTCCCAACCCGTAGCCTCCAACCCTGGTCCAAATTCTCAGTGACAAGGAATTTTACCTCTTTTCTGATATAACTCTACAATTTCTCTTGAATCGGTATAAGAAAGTTTTGTGCTGGGGCGCCTGGGTGGCTCAGTGGGTTAAGTGTCTGACTCTTGATTTCAGTTCAGGTCCTGATCTCTGGGTTGTGAG